AGTTGAATATCTAAGTAAGAGACTTCTCTGTCCCAGACAAAACCAAAAGTACTATGTGGAGGATACAAGATAATTTAATAATTATAATATGACGGTGTGGTGAACCTATGATCCTAACTCATATTTAAATAACAATCGCTTTGTGGTGTTGGCCAGATAAAGTGACAGATGATAACTTCATAATGAGACAGATAAAAAAAATCCACAACAGTTAGGTCAAAGAAAAAGAGTACAATCCACACAGGTTCCTGGGGTATTTAAATCGATCGCCAATGCCGAAACCTGGAGTGCCATTTTGTCACGTGTATTTACATGGCACTTTATTCAATATAATGCTTAAAAACAATCGGCAGTAATAAACATGTAAAACAGTGTCAGTGTCTCATTTCATCAGAACATCTATGGTTTTATGATGAGAAATTCTATCCAGCTCTGCTTGACCTCATAATATTTAAAGTGAGTCATATTTAATCTGAAATTCTCAAAATCTGAATGAAACATGAGCACAGGCATGATCAGACAGTATTGCTCATAAGGCATACAACAGACACGAGTGCATTTGCAAGTCTTATTTACTGTCGACACATTATAGACTTAAATTTACATTTACATTTAGTCATTTAGCAGACGCTTTTATCCAAAGTGACTTACACATGAGGACAATGGAAGCAATCAAAATCAACAAAAGAGCAATGATATGCAAGTGCTATAACAAGTCTCAGTTAGCTTAACGCAGTACACATAGCAAGGTTTAAAAAAAATTATATAATAAATAAAAAGAAAACAGATAGAATAGAAAAAGAATAGAGCAAGCTAGTGCTAGAGGCCTTTTTTTGCTTTTGTTAATTATAATAAATAAAAAGAAAACAAATAGATAGAATACAAAAATATTACAAAAGCTAGTGTTATTTTTATTTTGTTTTAAGAAAGCAAGCAGTAAATGTTCAAGTCTAAAAGGGGCATGTTTTTTTTTAAAGAATATAATTAGAATAGGGAGTGCTAGAGTTAGAGGGTCAAATAAAGGTGGAAGAGATGTGTTTTTAGCCGTTTCTTGAAGATGGTTAAGGACTCAGCTGCTGGGATTGAGTTGAGCAGGTCACTCCACCAGGAGGGAACAGTTAATGTAAAAGTCTGTGAAAGTGATTTTGTGCTTCTTTGGGATGAACAATAAAACGTCATTCACTTGCAGAACGCACGCTTCTAGAAGCACATAAGTCTGAAGTAATGAATTTAGGTAAATGGGTGCAGAGCCAGTGGTGGTTTTGTAGGCAAACATTAATGCCTTGAATTTAATGCGAGCAGCTACTGGTAGCCAGTGCAGATTGATGAACGGAGGTGTGATGTGCGTTCTTTTTGGCTCATTAAAAATTAATCTTGCTGCCGCGTTCTGGATTAATTATAAATGTTTGATAGAATTAAATAAGGCATGGTTCTGTTTGAGATATTCTAAAGAAGTAGTTCTTCAAGTGATACATTTCAAATATATTAAGACATTAGTGGCTTTTTTATTTTATATATACATATAATATATAATAATAATATCTAATATTTCTTTAAAATTCTAATCTTTTCTGTTTTTCTATATTCATTAGGCCAGTTATTCATTTACTTTCCAAACTGTTTCCAAATTATTTAACCAAAGCAATGTATTTGCATTGCTTTGGTTAAGTTGTGATTAATGTCAGTGAGTCGTTTCACTCAAGATCAAGTCCAAATTTAGTCTCTTTTTTTAATGTAACATTTAACTGCAATCTCAACAAATCACATAAAAACCATCAATTGTGCAGGTAGTATTTATTTTAAAACAAAGCATATCAAAATCACAATAATGACACTGATGTTAGCTAGACAACATTAGACATATAAACCTAAAGCTAAGCACTTGTGCACCGTAAACTGAGCCATTTTAAGGCAAAATACTGGCTTTCAAATGCACTTTGAAGTGTGCTTCTGTCTATGAATTCATATTTTGATAAAAAATAATATTTGTACTTCTGTCAATAGAGTATACAAACCTTCGCTTTGAATGAATAGCTTTACTACACTGCACACCTGGATGAATTATAACGCTCTTCTCCATCATTTGATCATCACTTGCAGATTTACTGTCAGGCAAAAGAATATGTAATATTACATATAGAAGATGCTGTTTTTTTGCACTGAAATATCACATGCAAAAGTGGTGCAGTTGAATTTGTCTGGTACAACTGAGGTCAGCTGAGACACTTCAAATCCACAAATTTAAACACACAGTGTTTCTCATCATGAAAGACAGTGATTGAAAGACAGTGCTGAATATGTGAGCATGCAAATATCCACACAAGGTGACTGAAGGTGACTGACACAACATTTTGTAGGGCGGCTGTCATGTTAATTTTGGTCGTCAATCTTTCATGTGTGCAGAGAGCAGAAATGTCCATCACAGATGAATCCAACTGAGCACTGGTACACATAAACATCGTTTATATAGTAAATCATTTGTCATCCAATCTTTAATGTATCTAAAGCATTGTGGTTCATTAAAATTGAATATAGTTACATCTGTCATATATTTATGTACCTCAGCCAATCTTAGTACCACATCACGCTATATTGGAAGAAATGATTTTAACAAATGACCATATTTAGAATGCTAAAATATTTGTAAAAAATTGTAAAATAACAATCAACTAAAATGTCATCTGTATTTGAACTTATTTTGAAACAGCCTTTTTAATATTATCATAACATGATAATATTATGGTAAATATACATTATTACATTGTCTAAAAAAATCCATGTCAGGTAAAAAATAAAATGCATAAACAAAGAAATACAAACAATACAATGACAAAAATGATTAGTGCAAAATATAAAATGTACCAAAAAAAAAAACATTAAGAAACAAGAAAAAATACTGTGCTTGAGTCTGGGGCAGGGCCTCCGATGAGCAAAGACCTGTTGTATGTGTAGCCTTACACAGCTTAGTCTAGTCTATGGCCCTTTCTACTCCTCGAAACCTTAAAAGAAACCACAAAATTAGTCTCAAATCAATTAGTTAAAAAACCTGCTGATTCAGAAAACCTCAGAAACAGAGTTATAACAACTGTACGCATTCACCTGGAGGTTAGCTAGAGTGTGTCTCTAGGTCACACACATGAACAAATTACATGATCACTGAGGATTTGGTTTGACATGTTAGACCTAACACAGAATACTATCGTCATCCTCCATGTGTTTCTTTGGAAAAAGACGCTGGTCAGGAGACTTGAGAGAGAAAAATGTCTCAGAGAACAGAAACAGATTCAGACTTTGACCAGTTCTGTCCCATTCTAGAGACTGGCAGTGTTAAGCTAGTTTGCGGCATTCCCTTAATCTGACCTTTGTGTCATTGGTCATTGTAAATCCAAGCATCTCCTGAGTTGATGATGAGCATATTGTGTGAATATCAGCAGAAAGCTAACTTTACTTTGAACTTAGACTTTACAGAAAAGGGGCTTTTACCAGTCAGATTCCAGCCGACTGATATGAGTCTCATAAGACTGCAGGAGGTGTGCTGACTCTCTGGACTATTTTTGGAACAAGGGTTTTAACCTGGAGTAAAAGCATGCAATATGATATCTGATTTGTTGCCCTCCTCTGCAAACACACTCTTAAAAATGAGGTTCTTTATGGGCATTCATGGTTCCATTAAGAACCTTTAAAATCAGTGGAATCTTTCCATTGAACAAAAGGGTCTTTATAGAGGAAAAAGGTTCTTCAGATTATTAAAAATCTTCACTCTAAAATGAGAGAACTGATCACTAACCTTTCAGTGATCAGTTATATATATTTTCCACTTTGAGAAACACAAAATTGTTCTTCAATTGAACCTTTGTTTTAAAGAGTGTGCAGTAGTTGTTAGGGCAATGCCATGCGTTTACTAGTGTATTCTTGGTGCTTGCTTTCTGGCCCAGTCTTTAAAAAAAGCCCACACCCATGTCTCTTACCTTTTATAAACTAAATGTCTTTAAAAAGTAATACACCTCCTAAACAAGCAGTACTAACGCCGGGAACACACTGCACGATTTTCAAAGTCAATCTAGTACCGTCTAGTTGCTGTTGTGTGCTCACTACACGACAGAGCGTCACACATTACACAACCTTTCCAGTGACAACTCTGGTCTACCAACTACATTTCACAACCAAACACTCGCAAGAAGTGACACAGGAAATAACCTAAAACCATGTGTGAGACTGGCTTTCTTCCTGTTAGAAACTGTAGTCCACAAGAAGCTTGCATTACAAGTTGTCTTTATGCTGGTTTGCAGTAAAACAGAAAGTAAAAAGAGAGAATGGATGCTTGCAGAGGTCATGTGTGTTCTTTTGCAGGTCTAGGACTCCTCTCCTGAACTTTCCCTTGCCCTGTATCTTGCTCCCTGATTGGTTGTAGGTAATCGCCGATGTCATTTCCAGTCAAAACACATTTCACACTGCAGGACGAAGGACGCTATGCAATTTCAGGCATTTGTCAGCGATTCCATAAAACTGTTAGTGAGTGAATATCAGGGTTAAAATTGAGCAGTGTGAACCCCTCATTAGTATGATCAACAGTAAGCAAACACCACTAAATACACTTCAATATATCTGCAATATAGCTTGGTGCTGCACACATCATTTATCAATATGGACAGACAAATGTGACCCTGGACCACAAAACCATAAGGGTCCATTCTTTTTAAAATTGAGATTCATACATCATCCGAAAGCTGAATAAATAAGCTCCCCATTGATGTATGGTTTGTTAGGAGAGGACAATATTTGGCTGAGATACAACTATTTGAAAATCTGGAATCTGAGGGTACAAAAAAATCTAAATATTGAGAAAATTACCTTGTTGTTCAAATTAAGTTCTTAGCAAAGCATATCACTAATCAAACATTAAGGTTTGATATTTTTACGGTAGGAAATTTACTAAATATCTTAATGGAACATGATCTTTACTTAATATTCTGAATAAAAGAAAAATTGATAATTTTGACCCTAAACACATGCTAATTATGACTGCTTTTGTGGTCAGGGGTCACATAATTACTTTTTGCTGGAAAATTAGTACATTGTTTCTGGTCATGACAGACTTTAAGGCAAAAATGACGATTGACTTGAGTTCTCATGACCCACACTGAACATAAAAGGCAATTTGGAATGAAAAGGAAACATTTGTCTGAAAAGCATAAACAAAGACATAATTGACTGAATGTCTGGCGGAGTGTGTGGCGTGTCTGTGCAAAATGACGGGGCAGGAGCAACAGCTCAGCTCTCCACGAGAGGCAGTCTAGGTCTCTTTCAGCCATGTCAACGTCATCACTGCCACAGCACTCTCTTCTTCTCATCTCTGTCCTCCGGGGATGACCCTTCAGAGGGTGGCACTGGGGTGGAGCAGGACGAGGGCTGGAGCAGCGAGGTGGGAACGAGCCCTGTCAGAGTCAGACTCTCCATGGAGTCGGCGTTGAGGAGGCGCTGGTTCTCATGCTGGGGGCAGATCACGTAGCGGTTGGGGTGGTGCACTTCTACGGTGGCCACTGAGCCTGAACCCTTCAGGGCCCCGAGAGCACATGGGACCCCCATTATGGGATCACGGCCCCCCACGGCCCCCAGCTCTCCGGAGGTCTCCTCCATATTAACATAGAGTATCTCATCTGGGTCTTGGCTCGGAAGATCTTCCAGGACCTTCTCGAGTTCGCAGCGCAAGATCTCGAAGCTCGGCCTGTCCTTCGGGCTCAACAGCCAGCAGGAAAACATCAGGGAATAGCTGTGAAAAAAGAGAGACGCACAGATGGCCAGAATGTTAAAACATTGCTTGTCTCATGATTGTTTGTGATGTTTGAACATGAAACATATTTGAGAGCCAGTGTGAGAGGACAATTTTCACAAAAAACAACTTGTATTTCACTCTTTTCCTCACACAATGCTCTGGTTTGACTGTAATACAGCACACGAGTAGGGCTGGAAATCCAGAGCCAATTCTTATCCAGTACCGTTTTCAGGCTTTTACAGTTTTTTTCAACTGTTTACACACAAAATCTTTACTTGTCACACAATTTCTGAAACCTGACACTCAAACACCAGGGGCCTCATTTGTAAAATATTGCACAGAAACCATCCTAAAATTAATCTTACGATCATCTCTCAAATATGCATAAGTGTGATTTGTAGAATGAACATACGCCCAGAAGCCCAGAAAACACACGTACGCCACTCTTTCAGATGTGAAATCCATGAATCGCAAATGATCTTGAGCTTGAGTGCAAATGAATGGTTTCTGCTCTCTGCCTTGTAAACAACTACCAATTAATGTCATTAACATGTAAAAGATCACCAGTCATCATCCAAATCCTTTCATTTATAACAGCGAGTTGCAAGAACAGCTTACATTTCCAAAAACCTGCAGTACTCGAACAAGAAAAAGAGCATACGTCTGCATATGCACATATACACTGTATATACAGTATGTATGACTGATTAATTTTACACCGGTATGCAACTGAACCGAATCAATACTCAACTGACTTGAGCTGTAGAATGACACTATTGGCTTGTTAGAGCTGCTTTACAGCTCTGGTTGAAAGTAGTGTTAACCAGAGGTTAAATACATGTTAATGCAGGTCTAAGCACAGTGTGAAAAGCCGAACAAGTTTTTGAAAGGCATACTTACATACTGTCCAGGCAGTCTGGAGGCTGTTTCAGACGGTTGCCCTGCCTCAGATAATCATAGATTTCACTGTTTTCCACTCCAGGGTACGGTGTCTGACCTCGAGTCGCGATCTCCCACATTGTCACTCCAAATGACCACTGCAGGACAGACAAAGTGCTAGAGTTAGAGGGTCAAATAAAGGTGGAAGAGATGTGTTTTTAGCCGTTTCTTGAAGATGGTTAAGGACTCAGCTGCTGGGATTGAGTTGAGCAGGTCACTCCACCAGGAGGGAACAGTTAATGTAAAAGTCTGTGAAAGTGATTTTGTGCTTCTTTGGGATGAACAATAAAACGTCATTCACTTGCAGAACGCACGCTTCTAGAAGAACATAAGTCTGAAGTAATGAATTTAGGTAAATGGGTGCAGAGCCAGTGGTGGTTTTGTAGGCAAACATTAATGCCTTGAATTTAATGCGAGCAGCTACTGGTAGCCAGTGCAGATTGATGAACGGAGGTGTGATGTGCGTTCTTTTTGGCTCATTAAAAATTAATCTTGCTGCCGCGTTCTGGATTAATTATAAATGTTTGATAGAATTAAATAAGGCATGGTTCTGTTTGAGATATTCTAAAGAAGTAGTTCTTCAAGTGATACATTTCAAATATATTAAGACATTAGTGGCTTTTTTATTTTATATATACATATAATATATAATAATAATATCTAATATTTCTTTAAAATTCTAATCTTTTCTGTTTTTCTATATTCATTAGGCCAGTTATTCATTTACTTTCCAAACTGTTTCCAAATTATTTAACCAAAGCAATGTATTTGCATTGCTTTGGTTAAGTTGTGATTAATGTCAGTGAGTCGTTTCACTCAAGATCAAGTCCAAATTTAGTCTCTTTTTTTAATGTAACATTTAACTGCAATCTCAACAAATCACATAAAAACCATCAATTGTGCAGGTAGTATTTATTTTAAAACAAAGCATATCAAAATCACAATAATGACACTGATGTTAGCTAGACAACATTAGACATATAAACCTAAAGCTAAGCACTTGTGCACCGTAAACTGAGCCATTTTAAGGCAAAATACTGGCTTTCAAATGCACTTTGAAGTGTGCTTCTGTCTATGAATTCATATTTTGATAAAAAATAATATTTGTACTTCTGTCAATAGAGTATACAAACCTTCGCTTTGAATGAATAGCTTTACTACACTGCACACCTGGATGAATTATAACGCTCTTCTCCATCATTTGATCATCACTTGCAGATTTACTGTCAGGCAAAAGAATATGTAATATTACATATAGAAGATGCTGTTTTTTTGCACTGAAATATCACATGCAAAAGTGGTGCAGTTGAATTTGTCTGGTACAACTGAGGTCAGCTGAGACACTTCAAATCCACAAATTTAAACACACAGTGTTTCTCATCATGAAAGACAGTGATTGAAAGACAGTGCTGAATATGTGAGCATGCAAATATCCACACAAGGTGACTGAAGGTGACTGACACAACATTTTGTAGGGCGGCTGTCATGTTAATTTTGGTCGTCAATCTTTCATGTGTGCAGAGAGCAGAAATGTCCATCACAGATGAATCCAACTGAGCACTGGTACACATAAACATCGTTTATATAGTAAATCATTTGTCATCCAATCTTTAATGTATCTAAAGCATTGTGGTTCATTAAAATTGAATATAGTTACATCTGTCATATATTTATGTACCTCAGCCAATCTTAGTACCACATCACGCTATATTGGAAGAAATGATTTTAACAAATGACCATATTTAGAATGCTAAAATATTTGTAAAAAATTGTAAAATAACAATCAACTAAAATGTCATCTGTATTTGAACTTATTTTGAAACAGCCTTTTTAATATTATCATAACATGATAATATTATGGTAAATATACATTATTACATTGTCTAAAAAAATCCATGTCAGGTAAAAAATAAAATGCATAAACAAAGAAATACAAACAATACAATGACAAAAATGATTAGTGCAAAATATAAAATGTACCAAAAAAAAAAACATTAAGAAACAAGAAAAAATACTGTGCTTGAGTCTGGGGCAGGGCCTCCGATGAGCAAAGACCTGTTGTATGTGTAGCCTTACACAGCTTAGTCTAGTCTATGGCCCTTTCTACTCCTCGAAACCTTAAAAGAAACCACAAAATTAGTCTCAAATCAATTAGTTAAAAAACCTGCTGATTCAGAAAACCTCAGAAACAGAGTTATAACAACTGTACGCATTCACCTGGAGGTTAGCTAGAGTGTGTCTCTAGGTCACACACATGAACAAATTACATGATCACTGAGGATTTGGTTTGACATGTTAGACCTAACACAGAATACTATCGTCATCCTCCATGTGTTTCTTTGGAAAAAGACGCTGGTCAGGAGACTTGAGAGAGAAAAATGTCTCAGAGAACAGAAACAGATTCAGACTTTGACCAGTTCTGTCCCATTCTAGAGACTGGCAGTGTTAAGCTAGTTTGCGGCATTCCCTTAATCTGACCTTTGTGTCATTGGTCATTGTAAATCCAAGCATCTCCTGAGTTGATGATGAATATATTGTGTGATTAATATCAGCAGAAAGCTAACTTTACTTTGAACTTAGACTTTACAGAAAAGGGGCTTTTACCAGTCAGATTCCAGCCGACTGATATGAGTCTCATAAGACTGCAGGAGGTGTGCTGACTCTCTGGACTATTTTTGGAACAAGGGTTTTAACCTGGAGTAAAAGCATGCAATATGATATCTGATTTGTTGCCCTCCTCTGCAAACACACTCTTAAAAATGAGGTTCTTTATGGGCATTCATGGTTCCATTAAGAACCTTTAAAATCAGTGGAATCTTTCCATTGAACAAAAGGGTCTTTATAGAGGAAAAAGGTTCTTCAGATTATTAAAAATCTTCACTCTAAAATGAGAGAACTGATCACTAACCTTTCAGTGATCAGTTATATATATTTTCCACTTTGAGAAACACAAAATTGTTCTTCAATTGAACCTTTGTTTTAAAGAGTGTGCAGTAGTTGTTAGGGCAATGCCATGCGTTTACTAGTGTATTCTTGGTGCTTGCTTTCTGGCCCAGTCTTTAAAAAAAGCCCACACCCATGTCTCTTACCTTTTATAAACTAAATGTCTTTAAAAAGTAATACACCTCCTAAACAAGCAGTACTAACGCCGGGAACACACTGCACGATTTTCAAAGTCAATCTAGTACCGTCTAGTTGCTGTTGTGTGCTCACTACACGACAGAGCGTCACACATTACACAACCTTTCCAGTGACAACTCTGGTCTACCAACTACATTTCACAACCAAACACTCGCAAGAAGTGACACAGGAAATAACCTAAAACCATGTGTGAGACTGGCTTTCTTCCTGTTAGAAACTGTAGTCCACAAGAAGCTTGCATTACAAGTTGTCTTTATGCTGGTTTGCAGTAAAACAGAAAGTAAAAAGAGAGAATGGATGCTTGCAGAGGTCATGTGTGTTCTTTTGCAGGTCTAGGACTCCTCTCCTGAACTTTCCCTTGCCCTGTATCTTGCTCCCTGATTGGTTGTAGGTAATCGCCGATGTCATTTCCAGTCAAAACACATTTCACACTGCAGGACGAAGGACGCTATGCAATTTCAGGCATTTGTCAGCGATTCCATAAAACTGTTAGTGAGTGAATATCAGGGTTAAAATTGAGCAGTGTGAACCCCTCATTAGTATGATCAACAGTAAGCAAACACCACTAAATACACTTCAATATATCTGCAATATAGCTTGGTGCTGCACACATCATTTATCAATATGGACAGACAAATGTGACCCTGGACCACAAAACCATAAGGGTCCATTCTTTTTAAAATTGAGATTCATACATCATCCGAAAGCTGAATAAATAAGCTCCCCATTGATGTATGGTTTGTTAGGAGAGGACAATATTTGGCTGAGATACAACTATTTGAAAATCTGGAATCTGAGGGTACAAAAAAATCTAAATATTGAGAAAATTACCTTGTTGTTCAAATTAAGTTCTTAGCAAAGCATATCACTAATCAAACATTAAGGTTTGATATTTTTACGGTAGGAAATTTACTAAATATCTTAATGGAACATGATCTTTACTTAATATTCTGAATAAAAGAAAAATTGATAATTTTGACCCTAAACACATGCTAATTATGACTGCTTTTGTGGTCAGGGGTCACATAATTACTTTTTGCTGGAAAATTAGTACATTGTTTCTGGTCATGACAGACTTTAAGGCAAAAATGACGATTGACTTGAGTTCTCATGACCCACACTGAACATAAAAGGCAATTTGGAATGAAAAGGAAACATTTGTCTGAAAAGCATAAACAAAGACATAATTGACTGAATGTCTGGCGGAGTGTGTGGCGTGTCTGTGCAAAATGACGGGGCAGGAGCAACAGCTCAGCTCTCCACGAGAGGCAGTCTAGGTCTCTTTCAGCCATGTCAACGTCATCACTGCCACAGCACTCTCTTCTTCTCATCTCTGTCCTCCGGGGATGACCCTTCAGAGGGTGGCACTGGGGTGGAGCAGGACGAGGGCTGGAGCAGCGAGGTGGGAACGAGCCCTGTCAGAGTCAGACTCTCCATGGAGTCGGCGTTGAGGAGGCGCTGGTTCTCATGCTGGGGGCAGATCACGTAGCGGTTGGGGTGGTGCACTTCTACGGTGGCCACTGAGCCTGAACCCTTCAGGGCCCCGAGAGCACATGGGACCCCCATTATGGGATCACGGCCCCCCACGGCCCCCAGCTCTCCGGAGGTCTCCTCCATATTAACATAGAGTATCTCATCTGGGTCTTGGCTCGGAAGATCTTCCAGGACCTTCTCGAGTTCGCAGCGCAAGATCTCGAAGCTCGGCCTGTCCTTCGGGCTCAACAGCCAGCAGGAAAACATCAGGGAATAGCTGTGAAAAAAGAGAGACGCACAGATGGCCAGAATGTTAAAACATTGCTTGTCTCATGATTGTTTGTGATGTTTGAACATGAAACATATTTGAGAGCCAGTGTGAGAGGACAATTTTCACAAAAAACAACTTGTATTTCACTCTTTTCCTCACACAATGCTCTGGTTTGACTGTAATACAGCACACGAGTAGGGCTGGAAAT